TTTTTGATTTATTGTAGAGATGAGGTCTCGCCTGCCCGGGCGGGTCTCGAACCCGCGGGCTCAGGCAATCCACTCACCTCAGCCTTCCAAATGCGTGGGATTACAGGCTGAGCCACTGAGCCTGGCTAGAACATTTATTTTAAAATAAATTATAGCTTTTTTTTCTCCTCTAGATGACTGGTCACTTTCTCTTTAGGTCCTACTTTGTAAGATGACTTTCTTGTTTTCTTTCTTTCTTTTTTTTTTTTTTTTTGAGTTGGAGTCTCACTCTGTCGCCCAGACTGGAGTGCAGTGGCACGCTCCTGGCCACCGCAGCCTCCACCTGCTGGGCTCCGGCGATCCTTCCGCCTCAGCCTTCCAAGTAGCTAGAACTACAGGTGCGCGCTACCACGCCCGGCTGATTTTTGATTTATTGTAGAGATGAGGTCTCGCCAGGTTGCCCAGGCGGGTCTCGAACCTGCGGGCTCAGGCAATCCACTCACCTCAGCCTCCCAAAGGCGCCAGATTACAGGCTGAGCCACCGAGTTCGGCTTCTTGTTTTCTGTTGGTTAGAAATCCCTCTAGTAATGGTGGTAGCAGTATTTGCCATTCAGTTATATGACTGCCAAGTAATAGATTCCAGTCTTTCCAAGAAGGGTCTCGTTTTTTTCTGGAATACTGTTGTGAAGTGTGCCTGGCCTTTAAGTTATTCCCAAAGCTAAATTAGAGAAGAGGGGAGATTTCATAGAATGAAATATTTTACACAGTTAAAAATTTATCCTCAGAAATCAATCTCTCTTTGGGCCATTCCATTTTCTCAGTGGAACTTGCCCTTTTATTGTGTTCTGATTGCTGAATGGATAGGTGAATGTTCAACATTTTGTGCCATTAATATATGGCTCGATTGGCCAGGCTCTGCTAAACTGTGGCAATGTGTAAGCTTGTATATGCGCGCTGGATACTATGCTCTCTGCTGCTTTCTGCTGGTATGGTTTACGAATGAGGAAAGCTATAGCATGACGATTGCTTAAGATCTTAAAAGTTTTAGGGGAATGAAGCAAGAAGCTTAAAAGAACTTTACAGATGTAAGCTTTTGGCTGGGGGCGGTAGGGGGAGTGGTGAAATTTCAAACCTTTGCTTTCTAAAAGAATTTTGCAGACCTAGTTTCCTTTCTCCACATTCTTTTAAACTTGTGTGTATAACCAGAACATAGACATGAAGAGCAAGAGTTAAAGCGAGCCCTGCAAACAACCCCATGCTTTAATTTTCTCAGAAGAATGTGCCTTGTCATTGTTTATTATAATGACAAAAAGCAGGGAATCCCACTCCTACACCGCCTTCTTTCCCTCCTCCCCCCAAATGGAGTTTTTGTTTTGTCTTTTCCCTGGGCCAAAGGTTTTGGTTCTACGTTTTCTAATCCAGGGTATAAAATAATACAGAATACCTCGAGAGGAAATAAAGAAAAGAAAAAAAAAATCCTCCCTACTAGAACCCTTTTAAATTATTTTAAAATGCTAGCTTTTAATTTTAGAATCTTAGGTTAAAGAAAATTGGAGGATTATTTCCCACTAAATGGTTCCCATTATAATTTTCAGAGAGACATGCTAATCAGTGTTGTTAAATAAAGAAAATAAGTCTATCAGTTCCACTTAGATAACCTTTGGTAATAAACGAACTCCATACACATTGTGACCTTAGAGCCTGAACTTTGTAATCACATGACTGGCTTGTAAACTGACCTGTGAGGATGACTGTTGTAGTCCGGCTTAGAGGGAGAAATTGACCAAGTGTCGGAAGGGTGGTCATCAAACTGGACTTGTCCTGTAATCTCTGTTTCTTCATGGCTGCAATAGAACTTTTCAACAGACTCCGAGAAGCATGAAATGGAGACATGGGAAGGTAAGGGAACTGATTGTTTAAGTCTGGGCCCAAATCTAAGGTTTGAAATTTTTCTTTGGCGGTTTAGAGCAAATAGTAGCCCTGAGGAGAAGGGAGGCAGTTCATAGACAACCGTTTTTTTTGTGTCTTGGCAGAATTCAGCCAGTAAGTTTTCACGTACATAGTAACTGACTGTAGTGTTTTGGATAGAAAAAAAAGTTGAGGGAGAGTTGTAGTGAATTGATTGTTGTGGTTGATGTTTCGAAGAGAAAGAATAAAAAGGGGGATAGATTTAAATTTTATAAGGACTTGAAACAGTTTTGTAAACTTCATTTTACATTCTAGTACATAGGTGAAATTTGCATCTTTAAAAATTGTTCTTTCTAAAATTGACATTTAAAAAAATTATTCTTTCAGAAGTTGTTTATATTTTAAATTGCTTAATCTAGTTTACTGTCTTCCAAAGCCTTATTTACTACTGTTAATTATAGATAGAATTGGGGTCATGAGGCCACTGATAAGGCAACTTCATCCTCTTTGGGAGAAACTTTACAGTTTTGGGTAAGCCAATGCTAATTTCTTTTTAAGTGGGTTACTTTTTAAATGGGGAAATTTTCTGTATGTATGTAATTAGTAGTGACTAGATAGTATTATACCTTGTTTATTTGGGATAGGCTCCTACTTATGTGAGAAACCCCAGTTTCCCACAACTTTATAATTTAGGCCAGGAAAAACATACACAGCTGAAGAAACAGATAAAAGAGGAATGTCAGTATTAAAGATTGCCATGTTTATTAAGTACAGTCAGAATTTGTGAAGAGTTTGGTTTCTTACAGACAAGTACTGCTGAGCTATAGCCAGAAGAGTTCTCTTTGAAGCAGTTGATAAATTTCTAGGAATGGTATTAACCCTGTGAAATAGCTAGTCCTGGGAAAGCTTTCCAGCCCCTTGCAGCATGGCAAACATCTGCCATAGACAGCTTTGCAGTTTCAGTCTCACTCTGGGGATGCACGAATCAGGGAAGCGGGGACTCCTCCCCCATGAGAGCATTCTTCTTTATAGTAACATTGGCTTTCTTCTCATACATGTTGTCCCCTAGCACCTTATACGCCAGAATTATTGGCTTTTATTGTAAGTTATCATAAACAAAAGAACATTTATAGAACATACCAAGTTCATACAAGACCTGTTTTGTGTCCATTGGACAGGAGTTCAGGGCCGGGCAGGGGTATCAGACCAGTGGTTACATGAGTTTGGAAGGGATGACTCCAGAGAATTTTTGTCAACCAGCATGAGCCTCTTAGTGATACGCATTTCACTAGCTCTGAAAGAGGACAGAGGTTTACACAGAAAGTTCTCCCCAGTTCATATTTAATTAAGTATTGAAACTTCAATTTTTTGTAGCTGCTCGATTGCTGAAAATAACTTATAGTACCAAAACAAGAACTTTCATAAAACAAAGAAGTTAATTTCAAAAATTTTCACCTGAATCTTCCATATAAAATTCTAGTAAAACAAAATGAATTGTCTCAGTTGAAAAGAAGGTCTTTGGAAGCTTAAAAGGCAAAATCAGCTACTTACAAAAGAGGTCAGTGAGAACACTACTGTAAAAATAATCGGTTGCTTGGTTTTAGATATTGCGCCCTTGTCCATTTAAATTAACCTTTGTCACAGCTGGGCATACAAATGTTTTGTTTTAGTTCACAGAGGGTTAACTCTATTCAAGCTTTCACTGTGGCAGGCCAGATCTGTGGAGTCATACAATCTGGTCTTTCAGCCCTGCCAGTCGCTAGGCAGGAAGTCTTATTTCTTAAGCTATCTTTTAGAATGGGGGTTGGGATTTGGAGAAAGGTGGGGGAAGGGCTTTGGAGCATCTGTAAGGATCAATAACAGAGAGGGGAGAGAGAGTGAGAGAGAGAGAGAGAGAGAGAGAGAGAGAGAGCGAGAGCGCGAGAGAGCGCGAGCGAGCTGCAAGAGAGGCCATTGTGCACACTTCAAGATAGATGCAGCCCTGTGCATGGCCCCTGCCTGGCAGGACCAGACACCTAAAACCAAAACAATGCCACTGAATGAATTCCCTGTGAAAATTAAATTGCTGCTTAAAAGCGAAAAAAAATACTTGAGTGCCCTTTCAACATTTGGGAATATTTTCATTCCTCAACTTGCAAAGATTAGGCAATCCCCACTAGAAATAACTCCAAATTGATTTTTAAATGCCTTTTGTCCTCATGCTAATACTATTTTGAATTGGAGAGGGTGATCATTTTGGTCTTGGTCACATGCATCAAAGCATTGAGTAATCTTTTTTCTTCTTTCTCTCTTCTTCTCCCTCTCTTTTCTGCCATTCTCCCTTTCTCTTTGCCTGACCCCCCTTTTAAAAATTCTAACGTGCGTCTTTATTGGCTTTGGAGGCATCATTAAGGGACTGAAAAGAACAAGAATTGGTTTGCATTTTAGTAACATGTGTGAAATCCCTCCCCCAACAGCTGGTATTGGCTCTTGAAACGTTAACTGAACTAAACAGATGCTCTTAGTGTGTTATTTTGAGATTATTTAAATCAGAATTGTGGTCAAGAAATTTATAAAAATCATAGATTTTATTTTTAAGTGCACTGAAGCTGTGATATCATGCTATATCTTAATGTATATTGTATATGAGTGTTAAAGTGAGCTTGGGAAAGTGAGCAATTCTGCCAATGAAATTGTGATTTTAAAAGCAGTACCAGCCATATGCAGTGACTCAGGCCTGTAATCCCAGCACTTTGAGAGGCTGAGGCTGGAGGATCCCTTGAGCCCCAGAGTTTAAGACTAGCATGGGCAACATAGTGAGACCTCATCTCTGTTTTTAAATAAGCACTACCAACTTTGTTCTTTTACCTCAGCCCAGATCTTTGTTTTTCGAATTCTGCTTTCCCAAGCCCAACTATAACAGTCCCATTTTACTGTACCCTTTCCAGAGTACTGAGGGCATTAATTCAGTAGGTGCTTTTATGATGCAAATTATTTATGGCAGTTGGAAAAAGTAATGGAGTCGTTGCTGCCTCTCTTCTAACTAAACATCCAGATACTGGTGACAATAGATGGTTAACAGTGGAGAAAAATGGAATCATAATGAACCTCTACTATTCTTCTCCCAATCTGAACTCTTCCAGAAACAAATACATAAACCAGCTAGGGGTTCATAATGTGACTTGCAGACATACAAATGGAATAAGGAGGAGGGGGAAGACTTGCATGTGAAGTTAGCAGCAAGTTTAATTTATTTTAGGCTTTTTGAGTTGAGACCTGACATATTCTGGACAATTTTGAGACCAGAGAGAATACTTAGGTACATCACAGATCATCTGGATATTTTTAACCCATCTCTAGCCCATACCCTTTTTTCCTGGGGAAAATGATATATAAAAAAGAAAATCTGATTTAATCACCACAAACAATGCCTCCTTGTTGCCATTGTTTCTGCCTCTCTGATACATTGTAATTCTGCATTAATATTTAAACCAAAGGATCAGTTATTTTAATGGGCATTTTCCAGAGATATACAAATTATTACTAACAAAACTTGAAAGTTCAGTTACCATTCACATTGTATTAAAATGGAGGTATGAAAACCACCATGACCCTTTTAAACAATGTGGTCTTTAATGTGTGTTGGGGGAGGGCCTAAGTGAAGGAAAAGCCATAAAAGTCTTCAGGGTTCAAGATGAGGTTGGGATTTTGGCCGATTGCTTTTGTCATTTTCACACACAAACATCACTGCAATCATGTTTGATTTAGCATCCTTAGTACAATGAGGTGGAGAGAACAAAAGGATATCAGAGACACAAGTATGGAAGCCAAACAATCACCCTTCCCCCCCCCCTCAGATGTTTTTAGATCATTCTTTTTTCTCTGTCCCTCTGTAACTAGGGTTTCTTTTTAAGCCAAGGGTTCCATTTGCAAGAATCTTCTTTTTTGCATGCCTCACTAGTTTGCTTGGACAGTTGAAAAACAAACCACATCTCATATGTTTTTTAGCCATGTAAAAAGTCATTTTCTAAAAACTTGATAAAACGCCATAATTAGGAAAGATCCATCTACCCATATTTCAAGGTTGAGAGTTTGGGGGCGTTCCCAAAGCACAGCTGTTTTACATATTTTGAAAAGCCTGTTCGATGTAAAGGTCATTGCTAACTCTAACAGGGTCTTGATGCTCACACTGTGATCCAAGGACCTTGCATTAATTAGGATGAGAAGCATGGAAGGTCAGGAGTCAACCGGCTGGTGAGCCTAGATGGATTGTTAGTGGGGCCAATCAGAATTCCTGTAGGATTTTTAAATCATTAAAACAAAACAAAAAACTGCTGCTGCTTCTGTTGCCTCTGAACAGATCCCTTGGTCTATATGGTAAGGACTCCTCCCCTGCTGCCCAGATGGCTCATAAAAACTTGTCTACATCTATTGCTTTGCTATAGGCTTCCTGATGTTGGGAAAAGAACCTCATCAGCCCGACTCTGTTAGTTGGCGAAATCACTTGACCTCTGTGATTCTCAATTTCCTCATATACAACAGGGGATAGTAATACCTATCTCACAGGATTGCTATGGGAATTAAATAAGAGAACTTCTGTTAGAGTGCCCAAGACATGCTTAACATGGCTTGAAATCGAAATGAGTTTCAAGAGTAGCAAATTTAGGGAGATTAGGAAGGAGAGAATTTCTGGGTGAGCCTGTGGCAACAACCAGGGAGGGGCCCTTTGGAAATTTAGCTTTGAAAATGCTGTACAACCAGTGGGGCCAGCTGCTGAGCCTTCTCCTAGAACCAATTGCTGTGCTTTATGTTGTTCCTATGCTAGTGAAAATTAGTAGTATGTGGGTTCCTGCAAATTTGTGGCCTTTTCCCTACAGAAAGTCTCTTACTGTTGTGTTGATTGGAAGAAAAAGGTGAGGAAAGGGCCTGTAAGATAACAGACTTAAGTCATAATCAGCAATACAAGGGTAGTAAAGTTAGTCTAATTGCCTGTGTGGTTTTTGTTTTTTTTT